CTGTAATACTCAGACATTCTTAGTATATTGTAAATGTTGTGTTACATCAATCCATTTGCAGATAAATGCATTTTTTGTGCCAGTTAAAGCTCAGAATTTCAACTCAGTTCACATTTGTATTTATCAATTAATTTATTTTAATGTTAATGCATCAAGTGGGCATTTTTCTATCAGTTTAATTATTTTATTTATTTGTTATATTTTATAATCTCAGTCTATACTACATGTATTTAGATGTGCCTTTGTCTCCTGGTGTTCGACACTGCTCGCACCATTTCATTTTAAAAGGAGGAAACCACAAGCACCACAATATATTTTTAGCTCTATTGAAGTGTAACGTTATACCGACGCACTGGCTGCAAGCAGGCATTAGAGATAATTTGTCGACGGCGGTGATGATGGCAGCATATTGGTCCGTATAAGTGATAACGGCGGTCTAAATAATAAACGGGTTAAACGCTCGTTAAAGAAGGGAGAAATCGGGACCCGCCATTAATGCAATGTGGAAAATATTTAATTAATAATAGGCAGTTGTGCTTAAATTCAGTGGGTTAATAACACATATTCACCACATATATTTGGTTTTATTTGCTCGTTTTAATTCATGCTATTTCATATTTGCATTTTCTATTTTTGTGACTCTGTTGTAACCAATCTATTACTTTATATTTTCTAACATTGCAGCCATGGGCGAGCTTTATTATATTATTTATTATCTATGTGAGTGCCTTTTCATTGCAAATGTCGCCAAACTAATAATAGCTGAATAACTGAAACTAACAAGACAAACTTTGAATTATAATAGCGCTGCTTCTGTTTTCTTTTTGTTAATCTGTTAATTTTCAAAATAAAATATTCCCCATTTTAAAGAAATACAATCTCATGTTTCCTTTTTATATATAAGAGGTGTATATAGTCCTGTATTATCTTCGTTAAAACTGTATGCATGCTGCAATGTGAATTATTAGATGTAAGAAATAGTCCCAACATATAGTGACGTGAAATATCCACGTCTAAATCACTAAATGTGGTTATTGTTAAAAATAGCACCATGTAAGCGCTGTGCTTATATGCGTAATGTTTCCAATTCAGCTTTCTTGTAATGCTGAGTGTTAAACTCAAAATAACTATTTAGCTTAATATTAGAATTGACCCGCTTACTTCTGGTGTGTTTGTCAGTTTTTGTCTGTTAAATATGTTTTATGTTTCTTTAAAAAAGGGAAAATATACGAACACTGGAGGATGTCTAATACAGCTGAAAAGGAACAAAATAAAAGAGTGTAATCTGTAGTAAATTGATACGTTGATCCAGCTTTGAGCTGCTACGTTTCTTTAATATAGTGCTGGTTAAAATGTGTTTTGGTGAACAGCAATGGTAGGGTGCTTACGTGTCCTATAAAGTACCTCGTAAAATAAGGCCTCCAAAAACATACTGTATCGTTTTGGATAACCGAGAAGGGGTTTTTAACAGCAGTAGCAGTAGGTTGAGTTACTGTAAAAGATGTTTTCCATTCAGTCATTCATATTTTCCGTCTCGCAGATAACAGATCTAAGTCATATCTTGATCATTCTTAGCTTTAAAACTAGAGGTTGTTATAGAGGAGCGGGTGAGTATTTAATGACCAAAGGGATTGATTTATCCTTTATTGTTCAGCCTTTATGATCACGTGTGTCTGCTACCCAATGGCATGGCAGCCTGTCTCCCCATTACTAGCCCACTGTAGTTCTCAGTGGGGCCAAGTTGCTACTTGATTTCTCCACATTGTTATTTTGTGAGGCTGGGTTTACTGCGTGTGTATGTGTGTGTTTGGTGTGTGTGTGCGCCGTTTTTACTTTTGCATGTATCTGTTGTACGACTGCGTACATGTGAACGTATAATTTTTCTGCCATGTCGACATCCGGAACACTGACTAGTTACTACGTCGATTCCCTCATTCTGCCCGAGAGCGAGGAGCTCTCTGTGCCGAGATACCCCTCCGGTCCCGGGCTCCAGCACTCCAGGCAGCCCGCCTCCATCAGCGACCACAGCGAGCTTGGAACCTGCACCTTCCCGTCCAAACCTCCGGTATTCGGGCCGTCATGGAGCCACGTCCCTGCTCAATTCCCGGGCACCGTCTCGTCTGTATATCATCACCACTATGGGCATCCCCAAGGCCCGGTCGGTGCAGATACAGATGCTCGCTATCAGTCGTGGCTGCTGGAGCCCATGTCTGGTTCCCTGCCCATGGCCGGATTACCGACGACCCATCACTACGGAATCAAACCGGAGGGTTTGGGGACGCGAGCTGACGGCGCGCTGCCCGGCTCTCACACGGCGCTGCTGCTCTCCGATTACGCCAACGGGACTGTGGCGACGGCATCACCGGTGGAGAAGGACGCACTGTCCGGCCAGGCAGGGGACATAAGCGGTGAAGGTGAAGAGAAACCGGGCCTCGATCCAAGTAAGTCGCTGCAGAGTCCTTTATGTTTATAGGCTACCTACTATTTATACCGCATAAAGCTGTGAGGACTGGGGTGCGTGATGGGGGTGCGCGTCTGAACAGATGCCATTCTGAACGTGCCATTTCCTTATGGGGACTGTTAATGGCAGAGCTCCCATTGCTATATTAGATAACATTCTGAAGCTTTTAAAGTGAGTAAAGATAAACAAGTGGATGTTTTATTTGGATGTAGCTGCAGGTTTATATGTATAATCATCTTTATTTTCATCAGAAGAAATTGGATTTTTTTTGTAATATATAAAGTGATGTTTGTTTTTGCATTTGGTCACTCGGCACCGGACCCTCACACCACTGTCGCACCCCACTCTTTCCAGATAACCCAGTGTCCAACTGGCTCCACGCGAGTGCCACGAGAAAAAAGCGCTGTCCGTACACCAAGCACCAGATCCTGGAGCTGGAGAAAGAGTTCCTCTTTAACACCTACCTGACCAGGGACCGTAGGTACGAGGTGGCGAGGCTGCTAAACCTCACCGAGAGACAGGTTAAAATCTGGTTCCAGAACCGCAGGATGAAGATGAAGAAGTTTAATAAAGACGGCGCACAGAAAGAGAGTGACTGAACCGTAGATCCACATTATTTAGGCTGTTAGCGAGCTTTGTGTGTGGAAGCTCTTAACTCTGCTGGACCTTGTTTTTAAACTTCATTGTCTTATTGTTCTATATAACAGAAGCTATTAGGCTTATTTGTCTTGTAAAAAAAAAGCATGTTGGGCTTCAGTTTGATGCGACTACCTTTATATTGCACAATTTTAACGGTGCCCACTCGTTTTGTATTTGTTCTTTTTTTCTTATGTTGATTTGAATTAATACCTCGTTAAAAGTGTATTAGTTGGCCTGGTCCCTGTGCTTGTTTGTGTATGGATGTTTCTAGCTGTGTGTGTGTGTCCTGGTTTTGTAGCTATATTTGTTGTCTATCTCAGAGTCACCTGAGCGTATAGTTTGTAAAATGTATTAATTTTTATTGTTGTTTCTCCCTTCCTGCTTAGAACTATGACTGATGACCATGAGTTTGAATCTAACATTGGAGCCGTAGAACACAGGCTCGTCGCATTTTGAAGTAGGTGCATAAACCTCAGAAACCTCTTGAAAATGCTCAAACAGTAGGCCCTAAATTATATTATAGAAGCTATATTACATGACACGATTGACTACCTATGTCTTTCAACTACCTACAATAACCTTTTGTCTCCGATGGCGGATTACAGTAGATTTGCTTGCATTAGATGCTATGAATTTCAGGGAGTAACATTACATATTGTTTGTTAGTGAGAGAAAATTAAATAAAAAAAAAAAACACTGTAGGCTACTTATTGAATACCTCACGGTCTGCTGACCGTCTGACTTTTGGTTCACAAATGTAATTTGTACTTTATTTATTAAATAAAACAAATTATATCTGCGAATGCATTCACGTCATACTCTTATTTCATTCTGGCCTCACATCGAAATTAATTATGTTTTGTATGTCTCATTTCACGAATTCTTGCAGCGCAGAAAGTCTTGTTTTGGTGCTTTTTTTTGCACTGCAAAAATATGAAGGTTACTGCTGTCAACCACACACACATGCATGCACACACACACACAAATATATAAAGGAAATTGTCAAATATATTTGAATATTTGCGCAATTAATAATAGAGGGTTGGCTCAAATTAGATAGTTTTAACAGGTATTTCTAATTAATCTCCAGCCTTTTAATTTGCAGGGCGCGCACACACACACTCACATAATTAAAACGCACACACCTATAGGTGAATATGTGTGTGTGTGCGTGTGTGAGTTTCTGGATTGGGGACAGAGCTGCGTCTTGGCAGAGGATGTTGTTAGCTGTATACAGCCATAAAAGACAATTACCGCTATAACCTTTTATGGGGTGCAAAGCGCTGCGAGGCGAGAGGACACAAAACAAAAAAAGACATCGAGGGCTTCGACAGCTGAAGCCCAAAATAATGCAGCCGATGTGCTGCTGTTCAGCTCAGATATGACAAGGCCGCTCAGCCCAAAAGCTCCGTCATTAGCGCCATGTCAACACAGCCATTTTACAACAGGAACGCTTTTTGAATAAATATTATGAAATATAACAGCCCCAGGAATTTTGGATTTGAAGCGCAACGTGACCTCAAATAGTCTGTCCCAAAGGTTTTAGAGAAGAGGTTTTAGTTTTAAAATATGGCCTCTGCGTTTTTTAAGGCTGGTTCAAGTCCCTGCATGTTGGAGGGAAATATTTGGCACAAGGACACAGAAAATAGGAGACGCAGTAAATCCAATGTGAGCTAGCTGCAGAGCTGCTAGGAGCTCATGGTCGATCCTCACGGCTCTGTCACATACGCCAGGTTATTTAGTTCTCATTAAAGACTGCACACAAACTGATTATTGTAGTTAGAAGGTAACCCGGACTTTAGTCCAACTGGAGTGCTGTTGTGACGCGTTAAGGGACGCAGATGGACCCAAACTTCAAAGACTCGACCAGAGACAGTGCAATAAAACGCCTGGTCTGCTATACTGTCTGGCATTCCAGTTTTAATGGTTTTATGGCCGTCCAGACACAATTAGGCCGTTTCCAGAATGGCACCCATTTGTTTTTTCTTCTCTTTCTGTGGGACTGCGCTCTGGACAAAAGGCCGAGCGGAAATGATCAGCTTTATTGGATTCTCCCCGACGGGGACGCGCAGGACTCACGGTCATTTGGAGCGATCCTTTGTTTCTACCTGGGAACCTTCCGCCCTCTGCTCCTTTGCTGGGCCCGTCCTAAAGGAGAAGGAGCAATAAAGGCAGCAGCTAGCTCCAAACACAGTGGTAGGCCTATAGATGATGCTTTTTTACAAAATAAGTCTGGACAAGTCTGTTTAAAGACATCCGCAGTTTACTTAAAATCCAAACCGAAACAAAAACATACCGTTACCTTTGGAGCGTCATTTCTCTGACTTTAATCCTGCATTTTTTCCGGATTGCAACAGAAAGGAAACACGCCTGCGCACTGCTGCCTCCCCACCCTGCAGTCCCTGTAAGTCACCAGAGGGTGGCGACACTGTTCCACAACGTCACCCTACTACTTTTAACCCTTCTCCCTAATGAACCTGCACTGGAGAACAAACTGTAGTAACATTTTTAAGAGTCCAGCAAAATAATTTCACACCTTTTTACAGTCTCAGCGCAGAGCTGCGTCTCCAGCCTGCGGCTCTGCAGGGAGGAATGAAACAGTCAGCACACAGCGACTGCAGGATTACTGCTCCTGCATTCAGACAGCCGCTCCCTGTTTCATGTTTGTCCCTCTCTAATGTTTTCACACGGCTTCATAGACGCACATCAACCGAAACAAGTTAAGTTGTTTAATAGAAGAGTTATAACATTAAAAATGTTTTCTTATTTGCATCTATTAATGTGGATCTTAATATCCTAACTAAGATATATCTTTCAACCGAAGGGTTTTTGATTGAGGCCTCAGTTATAAACACAACACAACCGGCTGGAAATTGTTTTTTACATGTTCACAAATATTGTAAAATTATCATTGTTGTTGTTGTTATTGTCATTATTAATATTGTTATTACTGTAGAAGAAGTAGCCTAATAGCAGTAGTAAGTTGTTGTTGTTTTTATATTATTGTAGTAATATCAATAGTCTTTTTTATTGAAGCTTTATTCTGACAATTTGCACTTTTATATTTGTGGGTTTATTTTTATAGGCATGCTTGGATTTATTAATTTATTGGTAATTCAATCAGTTAATTCAATCAGTTGAATCAGTTCAATCAATTAGGAAACACTGCAATGCCAGTAAAAATATGTAGGATGAATTGAGCATCATCATCAATAATAATAATAATAATAATAATAATAATAATAATAATAATAATAATAATAATAATAATAATAATAATAATAGCTAGTGCAATTAAAGGGGTTTTATTCACATAAATCTTGTTAGTGCACATAGTATTCACAATTATAATCATAAATAAAAATATAAATATATATAAAATAATATTTAATATAATCTTATATAGACAGCTTATATAAGTTAAAACGACCATAACTACAAATTCCACCAAGGTAAACTATCATAAATGATCATATTCAGACCCAATGGGAAAAACAATGTTTCTACACATCTTGCTAATATGCAAAAGAGATATATAACCAAATTTTGTGTATGTATATATATATATATATATATATATATATACACACACACACACCCACACTTATTTTTGGCATTAGATTGTATGTAAGGCTGTCGTTTTTAAAAGCAAAGGAAACCAACAACATCACATCATGTCGGATTTGTTAGCTATATTTTTAGTTCCATCTGTTACAGCCCATTTTATGTGCTATATATTTGTGTAGTCCATGATTGAGTGAATGTAGACCTTTATTTAGTAGTTTGGAGGTATTCTGCGAAGCTACATAAAATAGAAATAAATAAATAAAGCTTGTTAAAACAGATGATTATTCGTAAAGCAGCAGTGAGAGACGTCCTATAAAGCCATGACCTTATACAGCCTCTCCTAAATAACCTCTAGATCACTGGGATTGTGTGAATTTCTGTGGTGTGTTCTCACATGTGTACGTGTCTGTGTGTGTGAAGTGTTAATCCCACTCTGCAGTCCTGCGCCATAATGAAATCCGTGTCTGCGTGCTGATTGGATGAGAGCGGCCAGGCCCGAGTCACGTGGGTGAGTTCTTTGGTCCGGAGTAAAAATGGGGTTTGGTGTAAATCTAGGGTGTATTGCTGTCATATATCACGCTACCTCGTAAAAACGACACTGAGGATTCTGGGCCAACAAATCAGAGAGGAAAAAAATATGAGTTCTTATTATGTGGATGGTCTTCTTAGCAAATATACGGCGGGTAGTTCTCTCTTCCCAAACGTGGAGCGGGCGTCTTGCAGTATTGGACCCAGTGGAGAGGACTATGCCTCGGCTCGGACGGCTGCCGCCATCGCGTTTGCACCATCTCTGTCAGGAGTTTACAGCGTCAATAATGCAGTGTACCAGAGCAGACCCATGTTTACCTCGGGCTATGGCCAGGGGCAGGACGCGCACACACTGCACTGCAGCCTGTTTGACCAGAGCCGCCTGTTCACCGACAGCTGCTGCCACCCGGAGCCGGGACCCCTTACCGCGCCGCCGGACAAACAATACCGGATGTACCCCTGGATGAGAGCATCAGGTATGTGCTAATACTGTCTCTTATGTGCTATTTCAAAGCCCCCAGGTCAAAGCTTCTACAAAACATTGGGATACTTACATTGGCCGTTAGTGGTTCAATTAATTTCGTGAAGCCATTGGTGTTGCATGGAAAGAATCGTAAAACTTTTATTGCGCAACTAATGAGTTCTGCAGCCATAAATTCATTTGGCCAGCGCTTCTGTGTGTTCAGTACGCAGAGACCTTGCCGCTGGGGGTTTTCTCTGCACTCCTATTACTCTTATAGCCTCTTCTCCCCTTTGTGGTTGTAAAAAAAAAGACCGGCCTGTTGTGTAAATCAGTTCTCTTGCACTCTGCAGCTCCTTTCTAATTGGGTCTGCACTGCAGAGGCTCTGGTATTTTCTGAAACCCGTTCGTTCACATTGCTGGATCAATATGCACCAGTATTGTCGGCTACATAAAGAAGTCAAGTGGATTTAGAATGCAAGCAATTTGAAACATTGGCATGTGTTATAATTTTGAGGGTGAAGGTGTTTGGGGCTCTAATCTAATTACTTATGGCTCCTTCGGTGCGCAGAGCATCGCTGGCTTTTAATTGGAAAGGCATGCAGAGTATCAAAGGAGGCATGAGCCAAACATCCCAGCAGGACGACTTTAAATAGATGCAGTGAACTTAGAAAAAAGAAAACCTTTCCCCTACAGACTTGAGTGTGTTGTGTAAGAGTGTGTGTGTGTAGTGATGACGTAAAAAAACATGAGCCACAATTAACTGCGCTATCACAAATAGATTAATGGGTCTCAAAATGATTCCAGCTATAAGTTTTTATTGTCAGCATCAATTTCAGCACCACTTTAATTAATGGTTTATGGAGTATCACATTTCATGCATGCAGAAAAAAAGCCCTTTTTGCAGATTTTACAGAGCTGGCGCATCTTATCTTCCACAGATCCAAACCGAAAGCGGGGGCGGCAGACCTACTCCCGGTACCAGACCCTGGAGCTGGAGAAGGAGTTCCACTTCAACCGGTACCTGACCCGCAGGAGGAGGATCGAGATTGCACATACCCTCTGCCTCTCAGAGAGACAGATTAAAATCTGGTTCCAGAACCGCAGGATGAAGTGGAAGAAAGACCACAAGGAGGAACCGACCCCCGGGGGAAAGGACGGTGACATTCAGGCGGTGTCAGAGGCCGGAGAGCCCGAAGCTGGAGGCACCCAGAACGGCGCTTTGGAGTCAGAAACAGCTGCAAAGTAACGAAAGACACGGGCAGAGAATTAAATGGAAGAAAAACACTGTTTAGTGTGAATTAGAGATATACCAGAGATGTTTCTCACATACCATTCATGCACTAAAAGCTTTGTAGGCTGACTAATTGAATGACAGCTGAAGGCAATTATGTAATAAGCATTTAACAGCAGGCTGTAGGTCTGTGTTCATATTCAAACCCTAAATACACACAAAGGCTCCGCATCAAAGAGCGACATCAACTACCTATCCAAACTATATTTTTATACATGCAATACGATAGTGTTTAATTTAACCTGATTGTACTACTGAATCAACATTCCTTAACGAAAAACTACCTAATATTTACCTGCTAATATTAAACACTGACACAAAGAATTCAACGTAAATTAAATGTATTTTACCTATTCGAGTAATTCTGCACCACAGACGATTGTATTTTCTAAAGGGAACAAAGACACCGTCCTGCGTAAATGTGCCTTATTTTGAGTTCAGGCTAATTAAAAGTGAATGTTTTGTTAGTTAAATGCCTCCAACTGTGATTTAGCTGCTTCAGTAGGTGACCCGCTGTATTATTATTTTTATTCTAGATATAATTGCTTATCACTTATAATGTTAAAATGCCTGTTTTCGATACTTATTTTCTCCTCTATACATCCCAGGTTAAACATTTGTTTAGTAGTTTCGGATGATCTTATGTAACCTACCTCAGATTCCCAGAAAGCCAACTTGCTCATTATATCTAATGTAAACAGGAATACTCTGACGTAAATGTTTTGAAGTCTCAGCCGTGTACTGTAAAAATGTTGTTGCCTATTTCCTTTTAGATAAATTTTCAGGCTCCAAATTTCATACGTGTTTGTGAATGTCAGCAATAAACGCATGCACTTTTATTTAACAGTTTTAATATCAAGGCATTGCTTTTTTTGTGTTCGTGTAAAAAGCTAAAATGTGCAAATCTTGTGGTAGATTTAGGTTCAGTGCGCACGTTTTCAATGTGAAGTACAAGCAACATGTGAGCAAATAAATATAAAGACAGTCTTAAACCTCTGGGAATGTCTTAAAGCTGTAAATTAAAATATAATGATTGAATAAAAAAATAGCTTTTATCTGTGTATTTGTTTGCATGTAATATTTCCGAATTTAATATTGTGCAACCACAACAGTCATCATAATATCCACAGTCATAATAACGCGCCGGTTGAGTAATATTATGTTGCTCACAGGCACCCATAAGTGCTGTTGACTGTGGCCGATATTAGGTTGCATGTAATGAAACATGTCGCGCTCCATTATGAGTGTTAGGTAAACACTTAAGTTGGGGAATGTGAACTATGAGGATGCGAGATGGGGCAGGCTGCACATGAAGGGAAATTACTGTTGAACTCTACATTCCCTCTGTCCTCTGTAAGATGGCGCCTGACGGTGACCTGCCCCCTTCCTTCTCTGTCTCTCCCCCCATCTCTCTCCCTCCTCTTTCTCCCCATCTCTCCCTCCAGCGCTGGGTCATAAATCCGTTGTTGTTTATGAAAATTTACAACATAGCAATACAACTTTACGACCCGGCTCGGCTTCCCATTGGCCGCAGCTTGTCACGTGGTAGGGAGCCGTGAACATGAACTTTTTATATATAATTTCCAATAGCAGAATAGAGCAGCCTTTCATTTAACGGTCTCGAGCTTCCACGCGGCTGTTTCCCACCACTGACCTTCTACATTTTTACACCTTTTCTGGAGTTTTCTCTCGGTGAGGCAGAGGCTAGACGCGCAGGAGCTTGCCTTTAGGATATGACTGGATCGTTTGGGTGCCCTGCCGTCGAGTCTCCTGACACGTTTGGGCAAGATGAGTGGAAGGAGCCCCGGTGCGTCACTGACCCCCCGGGAGCCCCAGTTTCCGTCCGGCGACTCAGCTGGATACTTCCCTCCGTCACTGTCCGTCTGCACCTGCCAACTCCCTCCCCTCAGCTCCCCTGTTTACAAGCCATCACGAGGTAAGGCAATTGAAACTTGTCTATGTGTTTGCCCTGTTATGAATTTGCATGACAAACAAGTCAAGCAAACAACAACCAGTTCTTTGTCGAAGCATTCCACCTTATTTGCTTCCTGTGTAGATATCCAGAGGTTTAAAATCATGTGGGAGAAATGGTTTCCTGTTCCAGTTTATTTTATTGTGATTTAAAAGGCATATGCTACGTGGTCAGTGTCATCAGCCCGCATGAGATAACCCGTGACAACAGTGCTGCTGGCTTTTGCATGTTGTCAAGATATTATTTGTTTGTTGTTGGATTTGAATGGGGATGGGCTTTCGGCTGCAAAATTCATTGGGTGGATGGTGGCCAAAAGATGAGCTCTTTGACGCCCTCCTGTGGAGACAGTGGGGGTATTTCTGGTTGCAGCTCGGTCTGTTTTTGCTGCAAATGTCCTGCGGTGCACATTGGACAGACATGTCGACCTCTATTTCTACTTGTGTGTCCATGCATAATGCTTTAAATTTTTGTGTGCTGCTATGAATACACGCAGGCCTCGAATCATCGTGCGCTGAATTGATAAACAGGCTATTTTTCAGTGAACAAAGCAGGGTTATTTTTACGTCAGGATGACCTTTAATTGAGCAGCAAGAATGTAATTATCAATTGAATTTAGAAAAGTAAAAAAATTCATTATTTATACTCTGTTTTCGCACGTCGATGTTGTTAACGGTGTTGCTAAACATGCACTTAGTGAGCCTGTGTTGAGACACTGCAGTGATTTGTTTCGTGCAATAAATTATGCGTCGGTCGAGCAACCAACTTCTGAAGATTTGAATGCAAAGCAGATGTTTTTGCAAGATATCACTCGTGCAAAAGGGAATGTACAGTCACATGAATCCAATATTGTGTCAGTTTTCAATTTTGCATGTCCCATACCTGCTTATGACATTATTCTACTCCCGGCTTTTTGTGCAAAAATATGTTTCACATTAACGTTGCTGTGTATGTTTTGACTGCTGTTCTTTCTGGTGGAAAAGAGTGCGTCTGCTGCTATTTGGTTGAGAATTGCACCGCTTATGCATTTCATAAAATGTCATAACTATCCTTATTGTGACCACTGTGAGTTTTAGACGTTCTAGTCTTGCGTAATGATATTCTTGGATTAAGATATAAGATTTTAAATGTATTCTTTTAGTCTCACGAGTGCCAATGTGTGAGGGTGCCTGCAGAGTGCACTGCCCTCCTGTTTTCCTGCAGCAGTGGCCCCCTTGCTCCCAGCTCGACATGTTTGACACCAGTGCGCACTCAGTTCTTTCATCTCCTTTCTTTTGGTCCTTATTTAGTTCCTGGGTGTGTCCCTGGCTCGACTCGGGGGAAATAATTTTCGTGGGAACTTTGTTGCCATTGGCCAGCCATAAATCAGCTGCTAGAGCATGACTGTTTAGCCAACACAAACACACACACACTGCGTAGGTCTTCTCTTAGTATGGGCCCACTGGATGTGGGAGCCCGGTGTTCACCCTTCCTCACATCGTGCCTTCTGGCTCAGGGTCTGTTACCGCAAAGGGCGCACATACCTGGGACCGAATAAATAATCTATATCTCGCTGTTTTTGTCAGTAACACATGATTGGGCTTGTGCTGGGTAAAGGGGCTGCTCTGGGGAAATAGCACGTGGGGGAAAGCAGAGGACAAGTCGCTGCCTTGGAGACTCGAAGGTGCCATAAAAATTCCACAAGGAGAAAACCAAACGGAGAGCGCAGGACGAGGCGTCATGCCTCTGTAGAGTCCGTGCCGGGCTCTATGCGGGTCTCCAGTTTTTCTATTCCTGCTCAGAATTAACATGAACAGTGGATAGTTGATTTACACTTTTTAATAAGTGCATTGGCCAGATTACAGTCAAAGGTGGAGAGAGATTTTTTTTGTTTCGTAGGCAACGTTTCCCCTTAAAACTAAAATGCTAAAGTAGTTTTTAAAAGCGAGAATCAATCGTTTTTACTTTGTCTGTGCTGCATTGTATTTCATCCATCCATCAGACAATCGTTTTACTTTTTTAAAACTGTTATATCACACACAATAGTCGAGGCTATATTTTTATTTTTGAAAAAGTGGAAGATATAATAAAAGTAAAAACAAAGGACGCAACTGCTTTGTAACCCAGTGAATACAAATAACTCACAGCACAATGCAGAAACTAAAAATATGAATTATTGTCTGAACATTGTGGTTATTTTACATTAAACATTTCAAATGGATTGGTTTCAATTTATCCAATAATCGCTCGAATATTTCCTTTTTAAATATTTGTGAATTTCGTCTCTTTTGTGTCTTTAAATTGCAGAGTGACTGTACAAAACTCCACTCTGGGTAGCTGCCTATAGAAAAGGGATTTTATGTTGCTCTCGATCTTGTGTTGATACCTCACAAACATACAAATAATACATATGCAATTTGATAATATATTGACTATTTAAAAGTCAATGTGAACGATGATTCGCCTTAAAACGGAGGCGTAATAAAGTCGGGTTACATGCGACGAGCTTATAAAATCATCTGAGGGCTTATTGTGTAAATCGTTATATTTTAACCAGTGTAAAGTTGACAGTAACGTGTCTTCATATGTAGCTTATATTTAAAGTTATCAATTCTTCACTGTTAAAAGACAGGCCTTGAATGGGAGTCTCTGTTATTATCCGACAATGTGATGCTTTTATCTTTACGCAAAACATTTATTCATCAGTCTTTCCCCACATTGACGGACCTTCAGTTGTTTTATGATCATTAGAAAAACTGTGAAAAAGCAGTCCTGTTTTAAATGGGCTTTTATTCTATTAAGTGCGCACACTATTTGCACTCATCGCCTATCATAACATGCATAACAGATTCTGATCGAATTATTTCTGTACACTATCCTCGCAGAGATTGCACTCTCAGCATGTCACTTGTTATATTGTTTAGGAGCCCGTTGGTTTTTGCCGCAATGGTCGTTAACCTCTGAATGACCCCGTGTGGAGCCCACGCCTCAGAAAGCACCGCAGACAGGCAGTGCAACAGTTGAGCCAGAGGATGGCGCACCACGACAATTCAAAACACCCAAACCGTGGCTCAGAGCTTGCCCTAGCCACGAGCGCATGGAGGCGCGCGCCCTTCACATCCCACCCAGTATTTCCTCCGTGCACGAGTTTACCTCTGGAGGTCACCAAGCAGGATTTACGACTGGTCAACAAAAGCACGTGATACTCCGCCGTACCCCATATTTGGGTGCCTACGTAAGAGAGAATCAAGTCCATGGTCCCACTCATTTCCATAATTCATCATAAATTGTGCAAGGGTGCTATAGGACGCGCTAAACCATAAGAGCCACAAATCAAGCACACAGGTTTATGCTATTTTACCTCTAAAACAATAAAAAACAACAACAATACCTACAACGAGCAAACGGTGGAATTGTCAACAAATGAGCTCCTATTTTGTGAACTCATTCTGCGGTCGCTATCCCAATGGCGCGGACTTCCAGTTACATAATTATGGAGACCATAATACGGCAAACGAGCAATACAGAGACTCAACAGCCATGCATTCCAGCAGGTATGGCTATGGCTACAACGGGATGGACCTAACAGTCGGGCGGACGAGTACCGGACACTTTGTGGGCAACGAGCGGACACCGGGCTACTCCTCAGCGGCGACAACACCCTCGGTGGAGCCGGTCAGGTACACCCAGTCCGCCAGCAGCACCGGGACATCGTCTCTATCGCCAACACCTGACCCTCTACCGTGCTCCTCGGTCGCCAGCTCGTCCCCGGTCACCGAGACTCAGTCTCAACACCGAGCAGTGAAAAACTCTATAACGACCCCGTGCTCTACCCCGTGCTCGAGCTCGAACGGAGGCACGCTGCTGCTCAGTCGGGACTGTGTGTCCAAAGCTTCTCCCCTCGAGGAAGAGAAGCCTGCGGGAAGCACACCAACAACTCCACAAAATGTCACGGAGTCAACACAGCCTCAGATATATCCGTGGATGAGAAAACTACATATAAATCATGGTAAACTGCTTTTTTTTAATGATCTTGTATTGATTTTGGAGACCTGGCATAATGTTGTTGTTTGGATAAGGTGTAATCATGTTTATATTTATTCAGACTTTTAAACTACAAGCAGAACAGGCCTGAATAAGACCATTTTAGTACTAAATATATTTACTTTGCAAAGGGGCTCACGGCGCCATATGCGCCTCTCACCTGTTTGGTGTATTAGCCTACTGCTTTTTAGTGCTGTCAACACAGACCAGGTACGGCGTACTCTAACATATTATCATATGAGGTTTAAGTTAGTTGAACATGTATTATATATCTACAGGATATTCTTTATTATACTGTATTTTTTAAGATCAAATGGCCCCAATTTTATATCAGTTTAGTATGTAAATTCCTTTTCGCAAGGTGCAGTTGAAAAGGTGTGTTTCTTACTTTGCTTGGTTGTTTGGAATAATTTGGTGATCTTTTAAGCCTCGTGTGTAACTTAGCCTTGTGCCAACTTCGTGTGCAGAAACCAAACAGACAGTATGGGGGAAAAAATGCGAGATATGTAGCAAAAAAAAGTTCCTGCACTGACTGCATCTTTTTTTTATTATCATAATTAAATCCGCTGTATCTCATGTATTTTCCTCTTTGTCTTTCTGTACAAGATTTGTCAGGACCAGAAGGAAAGAGAGCCAGGACTGCATACACCCGGTACCAGACCCTGGAGCTGGAGAAGGAGTTCCACTTCAACCGGTACCTGACCCGCAGGCGGAGGATCGAGATAGCCCATGCCCTCTGCCTCTCAGAGAGACAGATCAAAATCTGGTTTCAGAACCGCAGGATGAAGTGGAAGAAAGACAACAAGCTGAAGAGCATGAACATGGCGGCTGCAGGCGGGGGAGGCTACAGGCCTTGATATTCAACTCATCTGCCCCTCATAGCGAGCACTATATACAAAAAAATAAAACAAAGATTGTCATATCAACTTCCCCTTCCTCCTACTTCAAAAAAGCGCAGAGACTTGTGACCGGGGCTGTGCGCGGGGAAGGGGACACCCCACCTGAGCCCCACTGTATGTCCAACAACCGTCCCATTATATTCCTTAATATTATTTCCTTTTTATTTCCACCGTGGTAATGCTTATGTGAGTAAAAAATGCATTATGTACAGTTCTGTCTAGATTTAGTAGAAAAAGCAACAAAATAAATGTTTGTTTAAATTATTTCTTGTTCAGACGAAAAAATAAAAACGTCAAAGCTTGAAATGCTACCTACCTACCGCAAATAAACCCAGTAAAAAGTTGTGTGATGCACTCAGAACAATACCAGCCTAATGAATAGAGGGTTGAGGTTGAGCTGCCTTGGTGTTTAGCCTTCGTTTTCTATGTATGTACTGTATATGTATGTATTTATTTGTTTGATGTATTGTACCAACTTGTCAGATAACTTGCTTCCAAAAGTAGAGCCAGCAGTGAGCCTTGTATGGTTATTGTATGCGTTGTGAACACATGTATGGACAGAAGTGCCGACTCAGTCTTGTATGTACAGTAGCTGTGCCTTGCATCTTTTTTTTTCTTTCTTGCAGGAGCTTCTGTTTGTGTTTTTCACCTGGTCGCAACATCTTAGTAAAAAAACGTGTTTTGTCTTTGTTTTCTTTAACTGTTTTAATGTGGAGGGTCCCCACAGTAAATTTCATTGCCTATGTGTATAACTCCATCGTGATTAGCTTTTTGTAAATGTTTTTCAAAGACTGGAAGTCAAGAATATACTATAATAATAATGATGATGATGATGATGATGATGACGATGATGATGGCCATTATAATAAAATTTCTACTGGAACGGCAACATCACAGTGTACGTTTTTGTAAAACAGAAAATATATATCCAAAGATCCGTTTACGCCTTCGCCACGCTGCGTCATGGAAGAGAGGAGTCAGAGTTTGTTGTCTGGTCTAAAATCTTGAGGTCACCTGTATGAGCTGACAAAAATTGTTTACTCGAGTTAAATCCTTGAATTCAACAGGTCCCCTTGAATGAAAGCTTCATGTTTTACTCACCTTGCTGCATGTGGAGCGGGGGGCTTTGGGGTCCTTGGCCACTCACCGGCTCCAGTGGCCGGGCGTCCCCTTTGCGCACAGACTCCTGGGCTATTCCCGGAGAATCAGCTCGACTTTTCAAGCTGTAAACTTTATTAGGGCCGATTCTGGCTCTCTGACATTTGGGTGCTAAATGAATGGGGGGTTTTGTCTATGAATTAGATCGTAAAAATCATCCGGAGCGCGGCCAGATAGGCTCACTGGCCATAAACGGTCACGTGGTAGCCATTAAAGTAAGTTTTATGGTTTTGGGGAGTTGACAGTATATTGCACATAACATATAATCGCACTGACGGCGAGGCTTCGTCTGACTCTCTCTTTGCAGGCTGTAAGTGTTACTTGACCGGTACAGCCCGTCTCTATTGCTCAGTCTGCCTCAGTATGGACCGGACGCTCTCCAGGAAGAGGACCGCGTCTCTGGGTAAGTTTCTGCAGACTATCCGGTAGCCCGAGAACAGCCAGCCTGTGTTAAACAGCCATATTATTGTATTCGCTCCCTCTATCTGTCCCTATTAGTCCATTACACTAATTTGTCAGTTGTGCAGCGCTGAATACTGGTCTCGGCAGATGTTGCGCAGGGTTGGGTCCGGCTCATGGCTATTTAATTGCTTCCTTCCCCGTGTAACTTGTTTCCCTCCATCTGTGGTGTAACTCATAATCCATTTTTACATGTTGGATAATTATCTCTGTGTCCATTTCCACCCCCACAAACTTCTAGTTGTTGTCGTTTTATTACATTGGAGGATTCACAGACCGTGAACCAGAAAGTTTCCAAGGGATGTGTGGAGTGTGGAGATTTCCTTGATAAAGTTAAGCGCTAATGCAGGCCTACAGCTTTACAGCTAGCGACGTTTGATTGGGTTCTGTATGTGCTGATGACTTTTGGAAGTTGGAGGTCCATGATCCTGGGGGAAAAAAAAGTTGCAGTTGTTTTGCTGAGCGCTGCGCTCCACATGTTGGCACTGCTCATGGCTTTAGGATGGGCTGTAAACAGTGTCAAGTAAACACAACATGGGAACAAACAGCAACAGGGAGACGGTTGAAAAGGAATTCCGTTTTGTGTCAGCTCATCGTTTTGTGTTTGGGGTTGAAAAGTTCAGATGACCTCTTAAAAGTCACTCTCTCTTTGTGGTGACCTCTTGTCCGATCAGTGCCGGGGCGAAAGCGGCCACCAGTGGACCCTGATCCCTTAAAATCATGGACTGATAATGGGGAATATGTATATCTATTTTTTTAACTCATTTTTTTGGACGCGTTGGTGTTTTTCTTTTTACACCCCTGTGTGTTTTTTTTTCAACCAAAGAGTGTGTGACTCGATGCGCCGTTTCCAGTTTGAAATTTCCAGGCCAAATATGAAAACATCCAACTTTTTTGGATGGGTATCGCTGTTTGAATCGTGTGAGTTTTTGGCAACAAACAAACTTGCAAATATCCATGCAGCTTTCCTAAAGTTGTTGCCTGGGCGGATTTGCAATATTGTCCGTCAGCCAACCTAAATAGCAAGTTTTATATTGGGTTCAGAGGCCTACACCACTCCGTCTAAAATAATTACATGTTATTTCTGCCAATAAATAAATGTATTCATCACTTTAAATAGCTTTTTAAATCCCTTTTTTAACCGATGCTGGAGTGGACTTTAAAATCTGGCCTCCTTTTGAAAATTCTGGCCAGATGAGGAGGAACTCCCGAAATGTATTTATTTTTTTCTTTCTTTTTTAATAATCCAACAATTAATAACATTTTGGGGTTTCAAAATAGGAGAATAATTGAAACCATACTGCTGATATCCATTTGTTTATTGCTGAACAATTTTTACGCGATGTTTCGTAATGAAGTCACCATCTTAACAAAACACGGGATTTACACTCTTTCCAGTTGGATTTTCGACACGCTGAAAATACAACAGGACACTCTGATAGTGCGGCTATTTGGAAATTAAAACCCTTGCCAATATTTCAAATGGAGAAATTTCGACAGGGCCCCATGTGCGGCATACTGCCAGGCAGAGGGAGAAAGAGAGAGAGGAGCGCTGTAGGTTCATCTGGAGGTCAGCCACAGCACCAAGATAAATCTGCATCCTCTCAGAGCCACCAGCAGAGCTCGCTTTAGGCCAAGTTCACTGTCACCCTGCTGTATGAAGAGAGGGAAACCACTCACACATCCACGGTACCGCGCGCACACGCGCCTTCACGTTAATGACACGTTTGCTTGGCGTTGCCTATAAGCATAATGCGTATAAATGAATTTACCGAGGGACACAGAGCCCGTGGTAACATCCTTACACTGGAGGAAAGGAGTGTGTGAAGAGAGAGGGGGAGTCTAACTTTAAGTGTTGCCTCCAACAAAGACTTTTGGCTGCTTTGGTTGCTCTATAACGCTAATGAATGATTTGCATATTTTACGGCCCTATTAGTCTTGAGTGGGAGCCTATTGGATTTATCTTTTCACTCCCTCTTTGGAAACATCATAAAGCCACAATTGCATTTCAGGTCTTGTGCTGGCATCTTCTCTAATTATGAAATTTGCGAAAATGATCATCGCGATGGCAAGAGATATACACATTGTTCAAATCAATTTTTCGTTTCGAGAGGGGCAGATATCTCACTGGGCTGGGACAGATGAGAGCGAGATAGCTGCAGAAGAGGAGGAAAAATTGGGGTCAAAAGTTTACGCGCTGAACAAGTCTCCGTCATCTGTTCACTCGGAGCTTGATGCCAGCCTTATAATAGCGATCTTGACTCTCCACACAAAAGACAGAATAGCTTTGAATTACATATGTTGCACGGTGCACTCCAGGTGAACCCTGAAAGCGCGGTGACCTCGCGTTTGGGACCGGGGGAGGGGACCCCCCACCCGTCCCCTGCAACAAGATTGAGTAGCTGGCGTTTTATTAGGGCGGTTGATTGGTGAATTTCCTTTGAATAAATTGCATTTGATATGTTTAGGGACGAGGGCAAAATTTGCATTTTGAGGATTGATACTCTCGACCCGGTCACAGGGTAATGGGAAGGCCCACAGCCCCCAAATTGAGCCCCCGGACCCCTTAAAAAACATTTAGCCCCTCTCTTCCTGATCCGCTGAATAGAAGCCTTTTAAGAAAACAGAAATGTCACAGATGTTTTTTTGACTCAGAGATGGAAAGCTTTAAAATTTTTTCTTTTTGTTGCAATATATATAAAAAAGATGTAGTTTATTTTATCCTTATTTTTTTTTACTGGGCCTATTTAACCGCTTTGGAAGAAGAACGCAGCCACTTCATAAAGCACTTTGGTTGTAGATGTGAAGGCCCAGTGAAAAAAAGAAGTAAATAAACATGGCTGATAAACTCGAACTGGCGGGAAAACAAAATTATTTTATGGATATAATGCTGAAAAAGCTTAAAAATGAGTCTCGGCTAAGGCGCACAACTTCTTACACGTAGTCGGCAACGCAACACACAAAAACATTTGCATTTTCAGTTTAAATCAGAATAAAAAAATATAGAATATGAGATCCATTTGATTAAAAATGACCAATAAAACAGTGCCACTTTCGATTTTATCAACTTTTTGTTGCCATCTTAACGTTAAAGCCAGAGAAAATAAACACTTCAATGTAGAATCTTGCAAAATCTTATTTTATTCTTAGTAATATAACAGTTATAGACGCACAACACACAGCGTGCGGCACAAATAGATGTTTTGTACTATCAAAAGTGTTAAAATGTCTCAACAACGTTCAACTAAATTTAAAGAAGGTGAGTCGTTTGTTCAGAACAACTTTGTTCATTGGATTTAAAAGTAAGCTCACAGATCAATAGAGAATTGAACCCACCCGAAAGGCTGCAAGTGCGTTCATCCAAAGCCACAGCGCTGAGGGTTATTATTTCATACACACTTTTTAAAATTAAGCTAGATAATTTAACAGAAAGCATCATTTCACATGCTTTCAATTGATTTAATTCAAACGTTGGTGGCCCGATTGTTAACTCACCTTAAAGTGCACAATCCGACTCATTCAACTTTTTAATCTATCTGTGATTTACCTCAGTGAGACGCTCTAGTTTTTGCGTTTTGGAGACATCAGTTTTATCATTCTTGTTTGAAATATTCAGCTCAGTACTTTCAATTATAACAGCTTCTGTACTTAGAGGAATAGGGAAGTTATCCATGCACTTTCCAAAGAATGTAACTGCTTTTGTTCGCCTCTTTCAATTTGTTTGAAGGCTTGAAGGTCACTACGTTAGTGGTCTAATCAAAGTTTGCAGCTGTGAGTACTCTCAGTTATTGTGAACGCTCGCTCTGTTGCCAGTCTTTTCTGTAAAGTGCTGGAAAGGACCACCACACGTGACACATTGTATAAAAAAGATTTTATTATGAGCGTTTACCAATATCAAAATATTTCCATAAAGGCATGAAAGGTGTTTTCTGGCCCGAATCCTTGGCACATCTTGAATGCAGAGAGGATTTTTTTATACCCCGCCGCCAGAGCTCCGTATAGACGAGAGACCTTGTGGGAGCCATCTGCAATCTGTCACCATCGTCACAGCACTTCTCTGATAATCTAAATTTACAGTAAACTGTCAGCATGATGTATATTGGTTAAATAGACCTTCACCTCGCAGTATATGCACTGAAAGGGAACACCGTGATCTGGCTGTTAGATTATTTAGTCCTAAAATAAAATCTCCAACACAGAGCTGTAACCGTTTTTATTCACATTAAGAGCAAAATGGGTGTTTAAATTTTGTGGAAAATTACTTAGATAGTGTAACATAGTTTCCAAATGCTGCCTTTTACTCCAATGGTCAATTGGATGATTATTATCCTATTATATTTTGCTGCATTGTTGGAGAGTTTTCCAGATGCTTTATTGCACTCAGACATACAACCGCACCTTGCAGGCCTGTGCACCAGATAACGGAGGTATTACCTGGACTGTTATCTAAAATACTTCTCTGCAGCACTGAATCGGATTCTTGAATCATGATAATATGTTTAATGAAGTTATTCACAGCTGAGACATTAAAGAAAAAAAAAGTAGCAACAAGTAGAATGACCTGCAAAAATGGAGTAAGTGGATAATAGCCGAGCTGATCTGGCCCATATTTATACAGCACCTATATATAATAGAATGGCAGCAGACTGTAAATTTAGATATGATGTGAAGTCGTCTTACCGCTGACATTATGTTGACATATTGCCTCTCAGGTGGTCTCTCGGCCATACGGATACAGTGGATATATGGCGGAAAGCACATCAGCTGCCATTTACAATGAGTTAGGTGCGAGAAAGCCTGTAAGATACACAAGATAGCAGCAGCTCTGCCTTACAGCAACAGTGTGCTCACATGAAAAAACATAGCAGGGTTTTGAAGAGCAAAAAGTGAGGCCTGCCTTTGGTTGCTGTGGGAAAAAAGTCACCTGTTTTAAGCCGACTGCATCCAAAAATGGAGCTCAGAAAAAAAATCTCATATCAAATGTATGAGGCCATGTGCAGCAGATCTCTGTAGCTGCACTATCCCCTATTCCACATATTCTAAATCATACCTCGGCGTGTGATTTTCTCGATAGTTTGAAGTCTTTTGCACATTTTTAAAATCCTTCGGGGACCATGCTGGGTGCTGACCCACGCTAAGTGCTCCCCCAACTCCCCAGAGCTGAACAGACCCCTGCAAAACTGAAGTCCAAGTCCGGGGTGAACCCCAGGTCACCGCGTCTAACAGATATGAAAATGTCGCCTCTTTGGAAAGAGGGGGCACGCCTTGTTGTTTAACAAAGACTGTCAATGGGCAAGATTAATCAGAAACAAAATGGAAACGGTGTCACTTTGGGGTCAGGCAGAAGTTATCTCTGTTTAGAAGGAGCGAATAGAATAGGAGGGGACCAGAAAAAAAGAAAGGAAAAAAAAGCATTGAAAAGAAAGCTTTCAATATTTCCGAAGTTTGGCCTCTTGTTTCTCTGTGCAGAGGCCTTGTTGACGTGGACAGTGTGGATGAGCTTTGTGAAGAGCTGCTGCATCTTCATGGGACACAGATACAGTGTGGCACCTCGGACATGGAGAGGAAACAGGACCTGGACGTGATGGCTGATGGCGGGGAGCACGGTCAGAGACTTTTATATTTTCTAGAAACATGCCATTTAAAAAAAACAAACAAAAAAAACAAAAAACCATTTGTAATAATATTTAATTATACAGGAGTCTGACAAAGTATGATCATAAATTTGTGGATTTTTCCCCTCCTGTAATAATATTAAATGTTGCTTGTTTTATTATTATAAATCAATGTACAGTGGAATATTTCCCCTTTCATTTAAACTTTTAGTACCCCTCTATTCAAAGCATATTTTCATAGTTACAACACATGACAACTTGTTATCTTAGCCTTACAGTAAAGTGTTGCTGCAGGAGGTGCAGTGCACGCTCTCAGCATATTAAAATATTGCAGAATTGTATTGAAATGTTGGAAAATTGTCTGTGGAAAAGCTTTTTTTTATACATTTCCAAATTCCATCAGAATTGGAAAATTGCACTGGATGTGAGATTATGTGTGTGCAGAGCAAATCTGGCATATCTTACTGTAAGAGGTCTATGCTGGTCAAAGAAAAAAAATCCCATGCTTTGGTTTGGCATGGGGCTATAATGAAAGGTACAACATGTACTGCAAGTGGCTGTGCAGTGTTTGGGTGTTGCTTTTCAGTGGCAGTTAACACGGGAGAGCTGATAATACGTGATGGCCGTGCGATCAGTGCCGGATAACTTTCATGTGGTGCATACACAGAGCAAAAATAAAAAAAGCTTAAATTATTGCTTTGTCTTTGCAGATTGCAGAAAACAAACGTTTTCACATTTGTGCTCGTGAAATGAAGAAAAAGTGGCCTTGTGCATGCACGCAGGTGTGCAGCGTGAGATATGGGTGTTTTCTGTTGTTTATATATATGAGTGTGTGTGTGTGTGTGTGTGTGTGTGTGTGTGTGTGAGTGTCATAAGCGAGTATTCACCAGGTTTTACTGATGCACAAGTCATATGCTTTATATGCAGGCTTGTGTGTCCGCAGAGCAGCGGCTCGTCAGTGCATGCAGGAAGCTTGTCTTTTTCGATCATTTGAATAGGCTGATATGCAACATTACAATTTGCCCCCTTGTGCTGGCGTGGTTTCTTTTTATTTCTCTTTTCGTCTCTTTATCAGGATTCAACATGTTGCAAACTGAAACATCCGATATTCTCTCCTCTGTTAGTAACAGCCTTTTGTTTGTGATAACCTTTATAATGTCAGGGCTTGAATTTCACGTCCACTTTCTGTTTCAGAGGAGGAGGATTTTTTCACATGCAGACAAGCCTCACCCACATAAGTTTGGCCCCGTGCAGTAAACAACTTAGGTGATTGGTTTTGCTTTATATACTGTGATTTAATAAGGAAAACATCAACGTAAGCCAGTCCGAGCAGTGTTGGTGGTACCAATGCCATGCTTTCCATTGGTTCCTGTTTACATGATGCCCACAGGACACGCGGTGATTGGTGGCGCTTCACACGTGACCAGGCAACTTTGTACATTTGACAGGGAGTAGGAGGGTTTTGTGGAGATCAGAAAAACGACAGCGCGATAAAAATTAGTATTGTTGCACTTCACAAATTAATGACCATGAGTTCCTACTTGATAAACTCCAACTATATCGAGCCTTCCTTTCCTCCATGCGACGAATATCAGCAGAGCGGATACATCCCCAACCCTGGTGATTACTACGAGCGGCCAAAAGATACGGGTTTTCCCCATCACGACGAGCCATCCTATCCGAGGTCAAACTACACAGAATCGGGCTACGATTACGGTAACGTCCCCGCCACTGGACTCGATGATTTCGGCGACGGGCACCACGCACAGCCGCAACCGGTTCCACAGAGCCACGGTCCTCGCCTCACCGTGGCCCCAGACGGTGGCGCAGGGGCAAATGCCAGCAAAGACTGCAGCCTCGCCAGTGAGGTATATCCCGGCGTAGCGAAGGGCAAGGAGCCGGTGGTCTATCCTTGGATGAAAAAGGTCCACGTTAGCAACGGTGAGTTATCGTCACGGTTAAATAGCAGAACCACTGAGAAACAACCACTGGAACACACGCAAGCCTATTGAGGCAGCACTAGTAGCAGCCCTTACAACAGCAATTTACGACTATCGAGCAGCAGGGTCGGTAATTAAGGACCCTCGTAAATTTTATTGCCTGTGTTCGTCTGTCGGGGCCATGTGCCTTTGTTGCTTTTTAACCCAAACTACCTCCACCACTGGAGCCGAGCCAAACTGTAATATCCAACCCCGCTGTTTTGTTAATCATTTCTAAGCTTGATATGTCCCTGGATGCGAGTGCTTGTACACTCCGCATCTCCACATTAAGGTCATGTCCATAAACTGATTCAAGGCAGAGAGTAAAACAAACACAGCGGCTGTGATTTCCCACCAAACCCAGAAATGTTATGCTTTTTTTAACCGTGTAATGTGTCCAGTGGAGGGACTATAGGTTTGGAATAAACGCTATCAGCCTGCGTGTAACACCTGCTTGCTTGCCTGTGTATGGCTTTTTTCCCCCCTCCAGTCAATCCCAATTACAATGGAGGAGTGCCCAAGAGGTCCCGCACTGCCTACACCCGCCAGCAGGCTCTGGAGCTGGAGAAGGAGTTCCACTTCAACCGGTACCTGACCCGGCGCAGGCGGGTGGAGATTGCGCACACCATGTGTCTGTCCGAGCGCCAGGTCAAGATCTGGTTTCAGAACCGGAGGATGAAGTGGAAGAAGGAGCACAAGCTTCCCAACACCAAGATCCGCTCCTCGAGCTCGGCCTCGTCCTCAGCCACGGGGGCCCAGCAGCAGCAGATCAAAACAGGCCAGCAGCTTGTCCCCACGCCGTGCACCGCAGGTCTATAGTGATTGAATGAACCCCATCCCACAAAAGAACCCAATCCAGACTGAGATGGCAAATATCACAAGTGGAATTTGATGGACCGATTCTCAGTATTTTACACACATGGTGTTATCTCTTTCACCTTGCCTCTGCCATTGGGCCCCTGTCACGTCCTATACCCTCTCCCTGTCCGGTCGTCCTCGCCCTCTTCATATAAGCTTGAAATTCACCTTTAATTGCCACGGTGGCAACTGAAGTGTTTATATATTTGTTTATTATTATTAAAGAAGGATAACGCACATTCAGACGTAGGACTTGGATCAAAATGTATCATTACAGTTAAAACTGAGTGAGGTAAAAGTAAGTTTGAACTCATTTTTCTATGTTCTCTTTGGGTATTTTTTTTTTTCCTTTTTTTATTGCTCATGGAAAGCTCTAATATACTTGAAAGATATTTAGCGAGACTCTAGATGCCTGTTAGAAAACCAGACGGCAGTTTTAGAGGAATGGCATCAGTAAGAGTAACAGTGTAGTTTGTGCGTTTGAGTGGGTTGGTTTACTGTTGAATGTAGTCCAGGTGACTTTCACATTTTAATGTACATAGGCAAATCATAATGAAGGCACAATAAGAGAAGCATTTCGTCATGTAGAATTATGTTCGTTGGTGTTGTAAGGTCTAGGTTTATTTGTGCTAGTCCGTCCCATGTTGTGCTGTGTTCTAAACTGTGAATATTTGTATGTGTTGTCTCAGTAATGACCGTTGTAATGTAGGCTAGTGTAGGCTCAGTCTGTCCCTGTGAAATAAATATGTACTTCACTTATAAGGCTGACTTGGCTTTGGATATTTTGTCACTGCAAACACTGATTTGATTTGAGCGCAACATGTATTTTTAAAGCCGCGCGTATTAACGTGCCAAATGAATTTATAGGTGCCTCGTTTTTAAAAATTATTTTCATAATTTGTGGATTTTATTTTCATCCTGAAACATTTTATTTTTATGATGCTTGTTTTCACCTCAGTACATGGAAACAGATTTATTTCAGAACTTCTATTTTATGCTTTTAAATCAGTAATTCAGTGTTTGGAGATGCGTGCGTAAAAGTGTGATAGTGTGTCCGAGCACTGGATAATTTAATGCGCCACACCTTCATAATTCTTTTTAATGTGTCTCTTATGTATTTTTTACTTTATTGAAATAGACCAAAAATAATTTGCTATATTTGATAGTATTTGCAGACATGATTCATTTTCTAATCCGTGCGTAAAGTTGCGGAGTTTCTCTTAAAGTAAGACTTGCACAGAGGGAAACAGTTCTAACATTTTCAGGTGTTTAAGGTGTGTAACCTGTTCAGAATGAAGTATGTCTTACAAAACGTATCCCCATCTGCAGCACATTGCGTAAAAAAGAGATGATGTGTCTGACTAAATTATGTCTTTTAAATGCTCAACTGGCTGAGATTCTAATCCGTAAAATGTGCATGAATGTCATGCACATTTTCGTGGATAAAGATAAGATGTGGCTGGAATTTAGCAGGCAGATATCAGCTGCTGCAGTGTTGCAGGCTTTGCTACTGACACGGGAATCAAACCAACCCCAAATTGTTAAATGTATCCGGCCACGCATATTGTTCTCACTTGCCATTTTAAGGAGATCTCAGCCAACCTCAGTGCACCAGAGTGTGAGTGTTGGTCATTACCTGCTACATCCAAACAATAGAGAGTTCAACCAGGGGACACAGCCGGCTCTGGCCAATCACCGGCTCAGAGCACTTCTTCTGACCCCTGACCTTTCGACACACACAATGTTCAGACCATACATCAGCGCCGAGACCTCCGCGAGCTTTTTCTTCTCATTTAAGATTTACCCAGAGACAGCGCGGAAACAAAAATGGCGTTTAGGTGTGAATCTGTGCCATGAATTTTCCCAAAATTATTCTTAGGGACAGCTCCTCTGCAATAAATCACAGAAACACCCCGTCAGTTCGCGCAGAAAGGGCAGATATGAGCTGAAACATGCAGGCATTGTTCATGTAATTTAGTATGATTTTCAACATGTTTTGGCACTTATGGTTTCTGCTCAGTATATATGCCAATAATAGCTTAATGGATGTGTGTGCAATGCATTTAATACTAAATCAGATAAAAGTGACATTCACCAAAATTCCCACAGTAAAATCCCTCAGAGTGACAGACACACAGCCACAGTGTTTTATTC